CTCGATTTAGACCGTTTTAATTATTTAATTTAAAAGATATTTAGTTATGTCATTCAATAAAATTAAAATGCAAGAATATATTATATACGCATATTTTAATTTCGTTAATAAATAACCAAAATTAAACTAAATGTTGATATACTAACCCAAGTAAAGTTCCACAAACCAGCGCACTTGAGATACTTACATATTTTAAATAACTATAAAAAAGTGTAAAAATAGTAAAAGGAAATAAAATTTCGAAGCAGTACGAAACTACATTACAAAACAAATAATATGACATTGTAATTTCAAAGAAAAAGTATATAATCCACACAAATATTATTCGAATCATCCAGCTTTGTAGCGTTTCGTATTCCTTTGGCATACCGAGTGCTTCCAATGTGTCGTCTACTATGGAGAGTTCATGTAAACATATTTTTAATTCCTTTAAAAAATTATGTTTTCTGGTTATGCGACATAAAATAGAAATATTATAATTTTATACTTAAAATAATAAAAATTACTATAACAATGTGTACAAAAAGTGTTAAATACGAAAGTGTTATTACAATTTAATTAGTATTTTAAATATGAGACTTAAATGAATTATTTTAAAAACTATAATTTATGGACATGTGTGTGTTGTTGTAATATAAATACAAATCTTAATTTTACCAAACATACTTTATCTATAATAAATATTAATATAAACATGAAAATTGATTTTAAAAAAAAAGTTATAAATTCATATTTGTCCTAAATAAGTAATTTGTAATTGCCAAGACGACTTTAATACTTTTAATTAAAATTCCGTTTAAACAAAAATTAAGAAATATTCAAAGATTTAATAATATTAGGCACTCAGAAAGAATATGTTTAAAAATGTTTACCTTATATCGATAGAAGCTGATAAAAATTAATGAAAGGAAAATAAAGATTAATATAAATGAGATGATAGTTTCAGAGCTCATCCTTATATTTAGCTGGTATATATCGAGATTACAACAGTAGTATACCAAACTGCTCCATATGGATAATGCTCCAGTAGTATACAGACAAGAGAAATACAGCCTAGGTTGTCCAAGTGGGTATTCAAATAAACCCAAACAGAAAAATGAGCTTGTAATAAATAATGGTGCCAGCGCTGACTGTAACGTTATCGTCATAGTTTTTGAGTCGTGGGCTAGTAATTTGAATTAATTATTGCTGCACGAATGACAAACTTATGTGTTTTAATACTTTTTATAACAGAACTTCAGAAATAATTTGATCCTTTTATAACTGTAGAAAAATTTTACTGTGAAGTGCTTATATTGAAGGATAAAATACTTATACATTTCAACTAACATAAATACACATATGATCTAAAGTAAATTGCTTTATCTAATGGAATTTTCATTTTTATATATGTATTACTTAAGTGCATGAAAGACTATAAACTATTCTTACAATATTAAGTTTTTATGCTAGGTTCCAAAGTAATTCTAATCTATTATCTTTATTTCCGACATTTTTAATGACGTATCGACTTGAGTTGGAACTGATGACTTTGATAAAGTGTTTTATGTAGTGTAACGAAGTTAACGCGCACATTATAACGTTTTTAATAAATTAAAGGTACGCACTATAATTCTTATAATAATAATATAATTTATAATATTAAGAATTATCTATCAATTAAGAATATTTTTTTAAACTATCCACTTGTATTAAAAATTATCCATTCATCTGAATTTAATTTTGATAGCCCTTCTGCCTTTTGACTGATTGTTATTAATAAACTACTAATATAATGAAATAAGGGCAATGAGCCAATTTTTATTAAAATCTTTAAATAAATCTAATATATTGCGAAGAATATCACGTAATTATGGCGTTTCGTCCCAACTTCCACTACTGGACTCATCAGTAAGGCATTGTAGTGGAAGCCTACCTTAGACGCCTGTTTTAGTTATTAAATCGAGATTCTATATATACAGATATACGCGTATCAAAGCACTTGCGAGAATCTTAGCGAATATCTATAGACCTCTGATGGCGGGTCGACGTAGTAATATTCTTTGCAATATATTATTCAAAGTAATATATGTATATGTGTTCCCTTCCCACCCCCCCTTCACCCAACTTGCGCGCCGAACAATCGTCGGTCTTGAAACGCAACTCTATCTGAAAATACTAATGTACATCGAAAATGACCCGACCGGTGTCGAAACGTCTGGAAATTCCCGAATTCACATCGAATATCCTCAATCTTGAAACGCAAATCTAATAAACTGAAATAAATGTCCCCTTAAATTACTTGAAATTTAAACGCTTTGATTTCGCCCGCGTAAATTAAATATTTATTAAGGCTCAATAAGTATTAAACTACTAATATAATGAAATAAGTTATTAATTAAAATTTAGTTGTCAGTATATTAAATAAAGAAGAAGATTAGTACAGAGACTGACTTATATAGATTTGGATTATGGATGGAAACGTATGTATAATTTATCATTACTGTTATTGCGGGAGTTGCATTAATTGTAAATTTGGATGATTATGTATTAATCAGTATGCATGCATATTTCAAAATGGACAAATCGGAATTCTTGTAAGAATTAAAACATTCATGAAATGAGTTAAATATTTTTAATATTTCATGTAAAAATTTTTTAAGGGCAGCTAAATGAATGTCATCCTACATATCTAAAATAGAAAAATAATTGATAAGTTAACTTATTCTGAATTACCAACTCTTTTAGATATTCTAATATAATGTTTGTTTTAATTAGAAATAACGGATCCCATTAGAGTCCAAAAAACTTGTTTATGAAATTTATTATTAAAAATGAAGACAGTTGAATTTAAAACAAATTTCAAAGCTATCTTATGAGGATCGAATCACTCTCTTCTACTACATATTTAAAAAGGGCACTCAAATCAGCGATCGAGTTTTATAATTTAAATATATATTTACTACTATATGTTTACCGTATTTATTTTAATAAATAGAGAGTTTTTGCAATACCCAGATACGGTAAACGCTAAAGTCACATTATCCTTTTCTTAATTAAGTGTAAAGAAAAAGATACGTGACTTTAGCGTTCACTTTATCTGAGATAAATAGTATTGCAAAAACTCCCTAGTATGTAATTGAAAAACAAACGAAAGTGTTATTGATCATTTTGAATTGTTGTAGTATAAGCATATCTGTGGTCAATGTTTCACGTTATAAATGTTAGTATTTGATAGACCAATAAGTAGAAAAAAAATTATAAACTGGTCAATTAAAAAACGCCTTAAAGCATTATTGTATAGCAACGCATTGACCGTATTATAGTCCTAATTCGGTTAGGAGACTCAATATAAGGCTCAATAAATGGATTTTTGAGCTATGGTGGATTAAAGGTGTAAAACTTGTGCTCTCTGTGAGAACCTTTTGATATATTATAATTAAAAAATTATTTATTATATATTGCATGTAAGTAAACAATAAGAAGATTCCCACAATAATTATGAAGTACATGTGTAATTAAGCATACAACTATTTTAAATTTTATTTTTAAGATATCTAATATTTAACTTATCTACATTTTATGTAATATAATATAAAAAGAAAAGAAAATATAAATTAATAAATACGATGCATTAATATTGTTTTGAGATTTTTTTCAACCATTTCCTATCATTCTCATTGGTCGCGTTCAGCAGCTCAACTGCGGAACGGAACCGTGAGTGCTTGCTGTTATTGGACGATCGATAAAAATACGCTAATAACAGTGAGCGCTCACGGATCTGCTCTGCAACTACACTTCTCAACAAAATTAAAGGATCACTTGTTCCACCCTGCAAAAATAGGCAAACTTTGAGATAGAATAACTTCGTCAAAAATCATCGTATCGAGATGTTTAAAAAAGCATTTTAAAGCTTGAAATCTCTACTTTTTAGACCGGTATTCCAAAAAATGATTTTACTAATATTTCGTAAAATTACACAAACATAAATAAAAGTGTGTCAAACCTGAAATTTTATACGAAATTTGAGGAGTTCCACGGAGCTAAGTAAAAATTGTGCACAAATGCGGTTTACAGCTTTCAAAAGAGTGAATCTTTACCTTCAATTTGTTTTTTTGCTGAGCTCTGTACGATTTTTTTTCACCGAGTTATTTAACATTGAAATAAAAAGGCCATTTTTACTTAAACGTTAAATAACTCGGTGAAAAAAAATCGTTCAGAGCTCAGCAAAAAAACGAATTGAAGGTAAAGATTCACTCTTTCGAAAGCTGTAAACCGCATTTGTGAACAATTTTTACTTGGCTCCGTGGAACTTGGCAAATTTTGTAAAAAATTTTTAGTTTCGGCACACTTTTATTTATGATTGTGCAACTTCACGAAATATCAATAAGACCATTTTTTTTTAAATACAGGTCTGAAAAGTAGAGATTTCAAGCTTTAAAATGCTTTTTTAAACATCTCGATCCGATGATTTTTGACGAAGTTATTCTATCTCAAAGCCTATTTTTGCAGGGTGGAACAAGTGATCCTTTAATTTTGTTAAGTATAGTGTATTACAACATGAAAAGAACAAATGACTTTTACATCAAACACAAGTGAGATGCTTTCTATGTTACACACGTTCTATTTTCAGTGCAAAAGGTGTAACACCTCATGTTGCACAAGCTGCAAACAAACTACTCCAATCCGAACTGTCCCAACCCAACTTGTAACGCTTGCAACTCCGAACTTCCAAAGCTGAGTGCATCCTGTGCATGCTACGGTCGCAGTGTAGCGTTAGGTTAGGTGTATCTCTCGTCCGTGGGATTGTTCGCCGGCAGGAGGGATTTCTAGGCTCGTGGAGATGGTGTTAACCAGAGCGTCTATTTAAGCTACGTCGAGACCTCGGTAAGTGCCGTTGTGAGATCGCGTGGTGATCTTTCGGACGACGCGGTACGTTTTCGCCGGCGAGGAGGGGATGGGAGCCATAACCTGTACGCGTATCTGCGATTTCGATTTTCAAAATGGCGTGTCAAGTGTGAGTGGCAAGGCATGGACTCGCGCTCGCCGCCGTCGTCGCGCGACATCCGGTGTTTCTTTATTGTTGATCGTCAAGTCGCGAGCACTTGTACAGTGCCGCTCGCGTGAAGTTGCCCTCGTCGAAGAGTAGCTATGCCGTCGCTCGCGCGAACAGCATAGGACGTAGGGAAAAATCACTTCTTCCACGTTTTTTCTTCGTTTTTCCTTTCTTTTTTTTTTTTTTTTGGTTTTTGTTCCTTGATGGAAATCCCGATGGAAATCTCAATGGAAATCTTCCTAACGGCGTTCTCTGTGGTATTCAGTTTATTAATAGTGTTCCTCCTTGTTGTGATAGGTAAGCACTCGTATCAGAGCGCTGATAACTTGATTATGACGTCTTGACATAATTACATCGGGAGAAAAAAAACGCGCGGTTTCGGCAGCACGAGTTTCTCGTTTTTGTACTCAGTGCAAAATTGCGTACTGTAAATATGATCGTGTATAGACTTCTGTGTTCTGGTATCTTTTTTTAGTGCAACACTCATATAGAGCTCATATTTTGTACGCTATCAGTGATAAGCATTTTCTTTTTGCATTATGTCATGCTTTACACACTCCGATGTCGAGTGGACAGTAAAGAGCTTGCTGTGCTATAATATACTTAAGCAAATTGTAGAATTTTATATATGCATAACAAGACTTATAATTTGGGCTAAGAATTTGTAATACATAATTAAAATGCTTAAAGTGCTTACATTATTAAAAAATGCTACTAAAACTAAATTAAATAAGATATAAACATATAGATATATTTGCATCTTGTATAATATTTATATTATGATTTCTTTTTCAGGTTGGTACTTAGTCTGGACGTTCTTCCTATCACGGTTCCGGTTTGTGAGAGAGTTAACTGGGAATGGAATGAGTGAATCGTCGTCGGTTAACGATTTGAGGAATGGTCGTGCACGCATGAAGAAACTTCGTCGAGACTAAATATTGGACAATATATATTAAAGCTATTACTTATAATATTGATAATACCAACGCAACGGATTTGCATAAAGTAAAATTAATCTTGGATACCTCGTGACAGAATATATATCCAACTAAAATGTCTGTAAATATACGTTGTGCTACTACAGAAGATCTGCTGAATATACAGCATTGTAATTTGCAATGCTTGCCTGAAAATTATCAGATGAAATACTATCTATACCATGCTCTGTCTTGGCCGCAACTCAGTTACGTAGCAGAGGACGAAAAAGGAAGAATAGTAGGATATGTGCTTGCCAAGATGGAAGAAGATTGCGAGGACAATCCCCACGGGCATATTACCAGTCTTGCTGTAAAGCGCTCTCATAGAAGACTAGGTATCGCGCAAAAATTAATGAACCAGGCCTCTCGAGCGATGGTGGAGTGCTTCGGAGCAAAATATGTTTCATTGCATGTGCGCAGAAGTAATCGTGCAGCTCTCAATTTGTACACAAGCAGCTTACAGTTTGAGGTATCGGAAGTAGAACCAAAATATTATGCGGACGGTGAAGATGCTTATGCTATGAAACGAGATCTCACCAGCTTCCATCACGAAAAGGCTCTTAGAGATAGAGCGCACAAGGAAGGCAATGTTCATACGCATTTAGGTAGATGCTGTGGCGATCACTCTTAGTCCATTCATCACAGTTGCTGACGGAACCGGATTGATTCTACTCATCAAAGTTTGACTTGGTATAAATAAACCTAGTAAAAATATTTTATATGCGACTGGAGGATTAAGGTTGTTAAAGTTTGCACAATGGAGTAAGATTGGACTTTTGGGGCTGTTTTTCAGTTTACGCAATGTAATTAAGACTTATAAATATATAAGAAATAAAGGATTCTGGGCAATCTAATTAATCGTGATTTTTTTCATTACAACTTTATTGAAGGACTGAAACTGTAATCCACATGTAACACGCCGCTATACAAAATTAATCGTTCAGGGCGTTGTCAAGCGTGTTGTTAAAAAGTATGGTAGAAAAAAATAATATTTTACAGCACTGAAATGGGCTCAATTTATACAGTTCCTACTTACACTTTAACGTCGGATTTATATTTATTTCGATAGATATTTCCTTCTTCAAATACTTTGTCATTTTCAGTGTATTTTGGCTTAAAAATTATTTTTGACATTGCACGATATTCAAATAAGTTTACTCCACTAATGCATCTCAGATTATGCTTGTGTGTATACATACTCCATTTCTGTAATAGGAATAATTATATTATGTATATATATATATATATATAATATGTATAAATATATCTATGTACAAATAAGATGTCCTTAAAGTAACATAATTATTTAGTTCGTAACGTATCTCGAGTTTACGAACAGCATGAAGGAGTCTTGAATAATAAAACGCAGGATTCGTCCAAGCGTGATTATACCGAAAACATGATTAAAGCGTCATATTAAGAGATAAACAATTTTTGTGTAGACGTTTCTTTAAAGACATCACGCGTGTTACATCAAGAGCTTTTGTTTCGAACTTTTTCTCTGATCTTGGAATAGCTGCCCTCGGATAAGTAGCTCGTAAGTTTACAGTAATACCGTTATGTATACATTCACGAGTGACTGCGAAGATGATATACAACAACCGCGAAAAGATCATCCGAGTATAAAAGGGAAATTTAGGGAAAGACAAGTTAATGTGCGCGAGAGAGAGAGAGAGAGAGAGAGAGAGAGAGAGAGAGAGAGATAATGTCTATAACGTCGTTCGTCAGGATTTTACAATAAAAAGAAACCATTTCACTTAAATGCTATAACATGACATCTGAATACGGTGATTCAACGCGAATAAGCACCTATCGATTCGACTATCATATAAACTTCTCTAAATATACAAGTTATTTCTATCTATCTATATATATATGTATATATATAAAACTGCCTTACATATGTATATTATAATATAATATATTACAAAAACACTCCCTCAATAAATTATAATACAAGTCTCATAAACGAGGTTCATGTACATATAAACGTTTCTCCATGCGCGATATGCTTGAATATTTAATCTCTAAAAAAATACAATATAAGATAAATGTTATAAATCGTCCTGAAAGGATCGGTTCATCTCTGTTATACGTAACAGTAAATCACATTAATCAATCAAAATAAGATAAAAAAAAAAGAATTCGAAGAAGAGATAAAATCTCTCTCCAGATAAATGGTAATTCTTATAAATGCTTGTTATCATTAAAGCTGCAACGAAACAGCCGGTCACATTTTAATACACGGCTAATAACATGCGTAATCGCATTCACAATCACAATTATATCTCCGTTATTTAATCGAGGTGCGGTAAAATTCTAATAAATACAAAGTTGGATGGTTTCGCATACGTTGAGCGAATGCTATAATCAGTGAGCTATTTTTAAGTACACTTTCGCACGTGGAGAATGCTATTAGAACAAATGCGTTGCAAATTAGCAGTTGGATCGTATACATATTTTTGGCTTTAACAGACATGAGCTTGAAGATAATCTAACTTATCTTTTCAGATCTTCACATGGTATTATTCAGTTTAGCTTTCGGTTTAAGCCTTAATCTTTAAGATCCGTTTTAATATAAAAAACAGAGAGTTTCAATTATTAGATATTAAAATTTCATGATTGATTCACTTGAAAGGTATAGAAATGCAAAAAATGATCTAGGAGATAAAACGAAAATTCTGAATGCGATATTCTTTAAACATTTGCATTGTTAATCTGTCACAGGACCTGCTATAGATCTAATAAAAACATCCGTTCGTTTGTTTTATCAAAAAGGCGTTATTGGTCTCGTTGTGCAAAAAGATTCGCGAGTATGCGTAGTTGCCGTGGAAATTTTTGCGCGTTAACAAATTCGATCCGGCGCTGATTGCGGTTGACAATGTGCGCACGTGACTAATTCATTGTTATGGAAGAGCCTGGTAAAAAGGCCTGGGCACCCGAAAAAGTCGTAACCCGGCGGTAAAAGCTTTGTATAAAATTCGTCAAAAATTGTCTTCCAAAAAAACTGTCCGCAATAAGTAATAATTCACCTTCACGGGATATCTCAAAAAGATACCGCAGAGGAATTTGCGTTAAATTTTCTTGGTGTCAATTTTTTGATATAATTACAAAAACAGAAACACGATTGTTTCTCAAGTCGACACATTGGTATTCATATCGGTCTTTTACCCTTAAGTAAAAGCTGCGGCGATTCTTTACTAACACTTGAAATAGCTAATCATCGGTTTCAATAATATCAGTCAACTGTAAATGCAATTTAAGTTATTCCTTTTTATTTTAATTCTTTGAAAAGAATAAGGAGTTCGCGAAAATAAAATTATAGTTAACTGACATCGGTGAAACCGGTTTTCTGAAAGAGAGATATGAATACAACTTGTCTAGTCGCGTGTGTATATATATATATAATGTTCTATTGTATACCATACACCTATAAAACTACTAACACGTTTAGCTGCATACGTCGTGGGGCGTATATCCGAAATGGACTTTACGACATGGCAAGACAAACGGTGCTTACCAGGTCACAAATTCGTAAAAGCCATTTCGGAATTGCTTTGCTAGGTTCAGAAAGCCTATTGGCCTTGTTACACTCCATTTCACATCACACGTCTACCTGAACGTCTAATTGAATGGCTACATATATTTTCTATGAAAGATTACAATGCTTATATTATTCTCGAGTACATTACAAAGACACTCGTTCCAGGGTTGTGGTTTTCTTCGTTTCTTACGATCTATATACCGGAGCTTTGGCAGTAGCAGGTTCCTATTTTAGGCCACGGATTTTTTTTATAATGAAATAGGATAATAGCTGCATGAAATGCACTAAAGTGCAGATATCCGGACATGTTTTCACTTTCGTGAAACGTATATGAATCAGTTTGATTATTTCGCCATTTAATATCGAAAGTACTATTAGGATTCGAAGTGAAATTCTTTTGCACTAGTGCTCGTTAAAAAAAAAATAACAGGCTTATTCAGTACGATATTTCTATTTGTAAGTGGCTGAATCTCAAAAGTCAGCCACCAATAATTTTTCTCCTAGATAACGCTTGAAAGACCATGAGAAATTCCTGAGATACTTTTGATCCACTTTCGTATAAGAAAAAATGTTCTATTTTATCAACGTGCTGAAGATTTTTAGCAACGTTTAAAATCGTTTAAAATCTCGACGAAGAAAGAAAAAATACAGAGAATAGACTCGACATGATCCCTCAAGCGTTGTCCTCAAATTATCAACGCGATCGGTATCAATTCTAATCGCGAGATAAATTAAAAAATGCGTTACGCGTTTGAATCTTCTGCAGTCTCAAAATTTCTCCGTTAATGAGGAAGAATCTATCGTGGACCGCGTCTCAATTGAAGGAACTTGTGGTTTCACGACCGCATCGTGACAATTCTTCTCAAGGCTGTTGAGCGGCGTGTATCATAGCAACTTTGAGATCCTTGGCTAGGTGCGAGACATCGACGACGCTGTCGACCATCTCCTGAACCGCGGTAACACTTGGGAAGAATTGAGCGGCTTGCTTCGTCTTCTGTACTGTCTGCCCGAGCGCTTCGTTCAAAGCGTTCGCACATTGTAGTACGCGCGTTCGTACATCGTTGCGTGTCACATTTCGATGCACCGTGTCGCCGATGTGCACTAGTCGATGCGCACTCAGCACGACAAACTTGCCATGGGCTAGGAAAACCTATAAATTTCATATCATGGTTCAAACAAATCCTTATAATTTATCTTAACAATAAACAAAAAACAGAAACTATTTGAAAATGAATAATTTGAATAAATAATTATTTGAATACACTTATATGATGTTTGTTAAATTTGTGCAAATGGAATATTGATAGAAAATTTATAAAAATCACAAAATTTGAATAAAAGGGATAACAATTAATAATGTCGTCTCCATTTTACACATTTGTATATTTGAGACAGGTATATTTTATTATTTGTTTATAATATTTTTAATGTAATCTAAGGTTTCAAACATTATTTCTTAATTTTATCGTTTTGTTCCTGATTTTACAATGTATACTTTACTAACTACTTATCTTTAACCGCTATACCAGTTGCGTGCAATGCACTTGTGAATGAAAAGAGGTCATCGTGAAAAAGTAATGGAAACATGCAGTTGACGTGAGCTAACTTAAGGCACCCTGTCACACAATAGTAGTGCCGATATCTACGAGTCTATCATTCTTATCGAGACTGTTGACCCATATGCACATATATTTTAGTTTCGTAATAAAAAAGCACAATGCTCCAACCAAATGAAAAAGTGAAAGAAAATATTTACTGAAATTCTAGAACGATTGCATTAGATCTTAATTTCAACTTTTCTTATTGAGTAATGACAATAGTGATATTAAGCGTTGTTTCATCGATCAACAAATGTTTCAATGTATGAAATAATTTATGAAGAAAGTATTCTTCAAAGAAAAGGACAATCATAAAAAATTCAAATCTCAATTTTTATTGCGACGAAAATGACACCGTTCGTTATTTCAGTCAACGGTCGAGGTCTACGTGTCTCGCGTGAAGAAGCGCGACGGGTGGTACCAGTATTACAAGAACTGTTACAATTCTACTCGCCTTGGGTGGTTGATTATGCTCCACCGTTTGCAGAAAGGCGTCGATGGCATGAGTCAGGTGCGCGCCATGCGTGATGACCTGGGCGACGTAGAAGGCCAACAATTGCTTGTCGTTGGGATCCATGGGCGTCGGGGTCGTGGGTGGCATCTGAATCGCGGCATTGTCCGCCTCGGACACCAGCAGATCGTAGTTACTGCGAAGCTCCTGCGGCAGCGAGGCTCGCAATTCTTCTCGCTGCTTTGCTACAACCTCTCGCGAGTCGAGATTTACGTAGTCATAATCCTCTCCGGCGCCGCTATTGTTGCTGCTGCCCGTGGAGATGATCGACGCCCGCTTGAAGAGCAACGTGGAATTTCCCTGCACAGACAGAGCCTCTTTATCAGCAACAAAGGCTGATTGCTCAAATGTCATCAGCTTCATTCACGTAACTAATATTTTAAAAACCCAAAATAGAAAAAAGTTTAAAATTAATCTTCTTATTAAATTGAAATAAAAAATTATAAGCATTAAATATTCTTTTACTCTTCCATTTTCTCCATTTTAATTCTTACAATAGAAATCGGAAATTAAAAAATGGATTCTTTATTTAAATTTCCTTTTTTATTTTCGAAATTATATATAATTACACAAAAAATATGTCAATAAAACATGTAAATGGATAGTAGAAAATAAATTTAAGACCAATTCTCCTATTATTAATTCATCAGTTTGATTTAAATTAATGTACCCTTTTTTTCTTCAGAAATATTATGATGATTACTCATGTTCCGTGAAATCGGAAATTGTTATTTTGTAATAAATATATTAAATCTAAACGGCTATGAAAGATACTTACTTGAATGAAACTAGCAACCTGACGAACGTCTTCCGTGAGTGCTCGAGCGCACGCGATCAGCTGATCAAGGGGATCTGATTGTACAGGTAGAAGTAGTGAAGACGGAGGTCCGTTAGTAGGTGTCGGTGTATCACCACCGCCACGACAGAGTTTACTCGCGTCCCATTCCATCGTGTCCAATTCAGTAGCGGCTTCCTGTACGAGCTTGTCAGAATCACGAAGTGCCTTCACTAGCGGCCGTAATTTCGTGGCCAGGCCCTTATCTGGTGCTTTACCTGCATTACCCAGCGTACCTACGCGCAGGACACAATGTCTTTCAAATTTCAACAAAGCTATTCTGTGTTTCAGTATTTATCAAAAGATAGAATGGATTATTGTACGATAAATTTAAAGAGTTGCACATCTAAATATATAAAAATATATTAAGCTCACTTTGAATAATCTATTATATATAATTAGTGTCAAAATCAAAACAGAATTTTATTTATAATTTTATGTTGAGTAACGCGAAAAACACAAAAAAATTAACTTTTAAAGACACTATAGTATAAAGAAGCTTAAAGAATGATAAGAAAATGATTATATTTGTTTCATTATTAAAATAACGAAAGTAATTTTTACGATAGCTTCAATTGCATTTAAGGCTCAAGATGTTAAATCGAATTCTTTACATTCTACTTACCTTCCGCGAATTCAGCGAGATCGTGAAGAGACGTTCTGAGCCTGAGAGCAGCTAGCCTTAGGTCCATAAGGGTGGCATCTAATCGCTGTGGTGTTCTCCAACCGGGGCTCACGAAGCCCAGTAGCCTCGCTATCGCAGCGGATGCCTCGCTCTGCAACCTTTGCAAACCTTCCAGAGCGGAGTCCAACTCCAATGGAAGCTCCTTGCTAACTGGTACATCATAAATCTGTTGCGATGGTGGCGGTGGTGTCGGGGTCTTCGGTATGGGGGTATTGTGTCGGGACGGCAACGAGGACGCTGGAAGACGCGGTCGGGGTACATCGTAATCTGGAGCGGCCAAACTCGATCTGGAATCCAGGAATCGTTAAGCATGCGGGAAAACGAGACGCAAAATTTTAGATTGGAAACTTTTCAAATTTATAGCTGACGACATTGCCAAAATTTCCTAGTGGTGGAAGGAGAGACGCAATCTTGGATTTCTGAGGCATTTTAGACGCATCTAGCGATACTCTTTAAATCATCCTTTGCAGGATTCTTGGAACTCAGTTCCTGATTTATTTCACGTGAGGAACTTCTCGGACGCGTAAAGTTTCGAGATTCTCGGGATTTCTGGACCTCCAAGACCAATGGAGTTACCATAATGTTATAGTCGGGGAATTTCTTGAGCCCGAACAGCGTGACGCATGGTGGAAATGCGAACGGATGTACCTGTTCGATCCGCTGAGGGAGCCGTCGTTGGTGAGGCTGGAGGCCGAGCTGCTGGGTGTGAGGGGTTGCAATGGTCGCGGCACGTCGTAACAATCCAGCGGTGTAATGCCGGAACCGCCGGAACAATTTGAGTTGGGTGTGCAGGATGTCGGCGGCCTTGGGATATCATAGCACGACGGAGCCGGACTTGGGCTACTCGCCGGCGAAGGGATCACCGGGATCGCGCGTGGTGGTACGTCGTAACACTCGTTCACGTCGCCGCCCCCATTGTCGATAGAACTTCGCACATTGTTGCTCGTATATCGTCCTGCAAGTAGAAGTTAACAAGATTTAAAGGAATCCTCGGATTAACTTCCCAGTACTGAATAGGTAGAGAAGCCATTTCACAGACGCTTATGATATGCTATGTTATAGAAGGGATAGGGCTGACAAGTGACGTGTGGATGATAAATGGAATAATTCCTGCATAAAATATTAATTTTTCGTGTACACGCACATGATAAATTTGATTTGCTCTAAATAAGAGCTTCAAAAATAGACATAAATACAATTATATATTTTTATGCATATTTATAAAAATAAAGGAAAAAATTAATATAATTTTAAATTACAATATTCTCTGTATATATTGAAACCTATAATAATATTCGAAGTTGAAGTATTTTGTATTATATGTATATTGCGAAAAAATGTTGAATTAGAAAAAGAGAGATTAATGGTACGTTAAATCGAGATTAAAATTAATCTCACATTGATAGAAATTATAAACCGATCCTAATTTAAAAAATGAGTGGCTATTAACTATTTTAGAAACTATCAATGAGAGACATGAAGTTAGTCAATATCTGAGTTACTATGAATAAGTACAATATTATAACAGAGAGAGAGATGGCTCTATCATCATTTTATATTATAGGCAAAATGTTTAGTTTGCGACGAATAATACATACCTGTATTGTGCGAATGCTCATTGTTTGTCGAGTTGAGGGGTGACTCGTGTCTGGAGGGTGGCGCGGGACTTCCCCGACTTGCTGGGAGGTCGTACAGGTAGACGTCCCCACACTTCTGCGGCGTCACAACCTGCATAATCGAAAACGGCAAAGCAATTAATTTTATCCAGATTAATTATCAGAGTTCTACGTTTTGTGTTTCTACCATCTGTGCCTGTTCGCAGTTAAATATTTTTCGTCGCGTTTCGTTCATTCTATGTCCGCAACAATTAATTGCAAGTTTAATTTCAATCAAAATTACTCAAACACGTAAAATACTAAATTAGCACATCCATTCTAATAATTCTCCAAATTAAATTATGACTCTATATATGTATAAAATTAATATATTGTTATTACATTTTTGATAATAAATTTATAAATATATAGAAAAAAGATATATGTACATTAATAAATATTAATACTAATACCTATTATAAAATAATAGATATCGTTTATCGTTTAACTCTACATATTACTCGCGAGGTATTTTTGATATTCCGATATTGTATCTCAATTTTCATTACTTTTTTGTGTGATAATTTTTAATTAAATAAAGATTAATAATATTCAATATATTCTTTAGATAAGGATAAATGTAAATTTTTTTATTGTAAAATAATTTGCGCTAATAATAATGTGTATAAATAGCATTTATATATTTGTATTTTTTAAGATTGGGATGTCCTGAATATCCTACGTGAATAATACAATAAATGGTCTCATTCATAACAAAAAATGTGCATCTATATTCATGTATTTTCAGAAATACAAATTGCATAGACTTTGCCAATATATATCACACACAATATTAAATTGATTTTTAAAACCATGCACCCTTTTTCGTACCATCGTATCCGCATTCTCGCTTAAGTAAACGTTGCCATTTCATATGCACCAGACATAAATGTTATCATGGCAGCGTTAACGTTTTCTAGAGCTCTTCGACAATCAACTTGGAAAAAGAGGAGAGATAATACCGGGGCTGATTCGATAGACGCCACAGGAGCTAAATCCACGTGAACCGCGCTCGTGACGAAACTCCTAACGAAGTTATTTGCGCGAACGCCAATCAGCTCTGTTACTCTTTCCACTGTAAGCGATGTGACCTCGAGGATCTCGTTTGAGTGCAGCCCGCCGCAGCCGCGGATTAATTCTACGAGATCGGTAATTGAGTTTCCTACGAGAAGCGAGGAGAACTCGAGGGGGAAAAAAGGGAATTTCCCTATTGGCAAAATTGCAAAAGCACCGTCCTTTCGACGACAAACATACCGTAAGGTTCACGATTTATTCTGCACAAGATACACGTACGAAACGTTTGATAACAAATAACAGTGCTCGATAAATGGTGCGATATTTCTCGTAAAAATATTATACGATCTCGAATAAAGTAACATTTCTTGCAATAATAGTTCTTCGAATCAACAATCAAATTTAATTTGTGAGATTTATTATTACTTCTGAGTTTGATTGTGTTGCAAGTTCGAAAGTAATTGATGCACAATCATATATTTGAAATAAATATACTTAAATAATAATTTATATTTATCATAAATTAAATTAATTATGATCTGTAAATGAAAATTTTATTAAAATAAAATGCTTTTGAAGAATAAAATTTTTTTGTCTGCTAACATTCTCGAATCTTTGTCTGTTAAAATAACTCGTTAAAAATAATTAAAATAATATATTTTAATAACTTCGTATCACAAATTAAATCACCGGCTGGACGTAACAGCGGCGCAAGCTTGCACATTTCGAGCGTTGAACCGCTGCGCCGGGAAAATGTAATTCCGCTGATAAAACGTGAAAGCATGGAAGTCGATGCGACATAAATATGGGAGAAAAGGGGGTGGTGAAACATCCCCCAGTGTAATCTCGGAGGCTCATCGGCCGGTGCTTTGCAATAATAAAAGCCGTGCAATTCTTGCGTTACGCTTAAGCGTGCTACGCTTTTGTTATTATTCTTTTCTTTTTTCTTTGCACGTCATGGTGCATGAACAATAGCAGTTAAGAACTTTCCCTCTTATAGAGTATCGAGGTTTTTCATTTCTGTAGAGAGAACAGAAATTAATAAATATAAATTTATATGTTATATAATAAGAAATAAAAAATTGAAAGATACAAATTCTTTAAATACATACAAATTTTATTTTTAAATGTATTGTTTTTTACAAATATATCTCAATATATCATATTAAAAATATCGCATGTATACAATTGATAATAATTTTGCAAAAAATGATGAAGTGCTTATTCCTTCTCTCTCTATTCAAAAGAAAACTACTGTACATTTTTTGTTACTTTTGTTTCGCAAAATAGTCTCAGTTACATTCTTAAAGCAAGATATGTAATATGTATAGAGAGAGATTAGAAATGTATTATAACGAGAGAGAAACGTCGGACACGCCCTGCACATAAAACGGAGCAGCTTCGACTATTATAAAGCTCGCACCGGCCGACAGCAATCCGCAATACACCATTGACGTCCAGTTTTACGTTACTGAAGTGGAACAACCGGGGCTTCTACTTACGGTCGAAAGTTCTTGATCGGCGAAACTTATTGCATATTCAAGAGAACGAGAGGAGTTGCGCATGCAAGATGCGCTTCCTCAATGTGCTCTGTCCACGGAAACGCCGAAGATACGACGGGAATCTGGGTCAGTTCTTATCGGGCAGGCAGCAAGAACCCATCCACCGAATAACACGATGCCACAACCTCGATTCCGAATCAACCCTTCCCTCCCTTCCAACAAATCATTTCGACCCCATTTGATTTGCCGATCGAGCGCGCTTGCAAGAAATCCGAAATAATTTGTTTCAATACTATCGGAGTGATTGGCTGCGAAGGCGAGATTGTATATAAATGTAAATGATGTAACTGTATAAAACTCTAAAACACGCCGATTAATTCTTATTGTATGTCATGAATATCGTGCGTGTATAAGAAGTTGTTTTCCTTTCACTAATTATATATGAAAGATCGTGCTGTAACTTTTCCTTTTGCTTAAAAACCAAACTTTACGAGAATTGTTATAACATAAAATCTTTTTGTATTTCTTCCAAAAAAAGTAGACATCGTTTAAAACAGTAACTTCTGATTAAATAAATTGTTCAAAGTCTTCACTTTGGAAATTTTGGAATTGTTCCAAGTTGGACAACGTCCGATATAAAAGTTTTTTCATCAAGTACGAAGAAAATAGTACAAGATTAAGGAAACGGAATTGAGCTTTAATTCAAAATTTCGAAGTTCAGGCATAGAGGTAGTCCAATGGAAACCTTCTCTCGAAAGAACAGCACTTTGCACTAATTGCCCCCTCTGCGAACCTGAGTTCCTTCTTGTGAGTGCACACTCGTCGTGAGAAGGTGGTCGTTACCTAGAACCAGGAAATGTGCTAATTATGCCATAACTCACTCTTGATTATAGCTCGCCTTCTATGCGACAAAGTTGAGATTACTCCTCATGATTTACGAGCGTTTTCAAATAAAGATAAAGACTACAAACATCAATTGTTTAAACGAGACAAATAGAGAAAGTCAAAATTAACACAAAAAATATAATTTGTTTATGTAGATCTCTAATCAAGAGGAGATCTTGAACGTTTGATAAATTGTTTCCATATACCTGTAGCCATTTATAGTCGTGAAATTGTAAACAGAATTCATGAAGAATTAATTCAAGGTATTGTATTAAACATGAAAATATAGATCTGAAGAGGATAAAATTAATGTATGTGATTCTAAAATGTTTACGGAAGACTGAATAAGTCGGTCGTTGAAATTAAAAATTAGTATCTATTAAAATGATTTATATTCATATTAATTTAAATTGTATATGTAATAATTTCTTCTTTGTAATATTTCTCTCACAAAATATTAAATGTATGTTCAAAAATCCTGATTACGCTATAATATCAAAAATATCAAAAATAAATGAAAATTGAAAAAATGCAATAATTTTTTTATTTTAAGGTATTATAATATCACACATGTAAATGTATATGTATGTATAAGTAAAATAAAATCAAGTATGAACATAAAAAAAACTTTTATATTCATACCATACAAAAGAACTTTTTTAAATGGATGCATAGCAGTTCGATAAAAGTTAAAAGCTGTGAAAAGAGTTCTCAAGAATAAGTACAAAGTTTTAAGAATGAGTTCTTAAGTTCATACCTCACCTCACTTTACATTTGAATGACACAGAAATCAAAGCTATATTTCTATACACGAATTAATAGCGGATTGATGAAAATTCCCCCATGTAAAACGAAGAGTGAAACGATAGACTGTATTGATGGAATAGAACGGCCGTCGAACCGCACCGTCTGCTTCGTCGTGAATTAAAGCTGCGAGCGAGTACGCTATCGCGTGTTCTTTGTTATTATGAATCGAATAGTACTATCGTAGTGGCGCGTAGTAGCAGAGGGGATGAAGGTGCGAGGGAGGATGCTGGAAGGTTGAGAGCGCTCGTGTGCAATGTAAGGGTGCACTAGAGGGATGGGGTGGCGGTGGTGGTGGCAGTGGTGAAGACCAGAACAGTCCGGAGAGAGAGAGTATACACCCTCGGTCGATACCGGGCGTCGCGGCGTTAACTGTGAAAGGCGTATTACGAGGGTGCATGAGAGAAAGCAAGGGAGAGAATAGAAGAAGGAGAATGAGAGACAGTGACGAGTTCAGAATTCTGGAGACCCTAAGGTACGAAGACATCTAAGTTTCCATGTAGTTTAAATAATTTACGAACGCAATTTTCATCGTGTTATGAAAAATAAAGACTTTAGGAAGTAGACGAAGGCTGAATTTGCTTTTACTAATTTGAAATAAATGGAAATTTATAAGAGTTTACAAATTTTTAGATATATACATTCTAAACATAAAAATTTATTTCACTTATTAATAGATCTGCTAGATGCGGATAATATAACTTTATCGATTCAAAAGTTAATTCTTTTTAAGATTTAATCTTAATACAGATTACACATTTCGTTACATAAATAGGCGTTGATCACTCTTTTCTACAAATATAAAATAAAAATCAATTTAAATAAGAGAAAATCATAAAATTAATTTTTATTGTAAGTGCATGTATAA